AAAATTGTAATATAATAATTTCAATGACATTTGTATATAATTATGAATCTCAAGTATTACTAAAATGTAACAAATTATTAGACATTAATTTAGTCATCATTTAGACCAATTTTATACTTCTGACACTTCTATAGAGTTTATATTAATAATATTAATATATTGTATTACATTACGAAACACTTATTGTGTTAAATTGAATGGTTTGTTTAACCCATTATTTGTTGGAATATTTTTCAAACCAATTTTTAGGTGTTATTACAAATTATGTCATCATTTTGTTTGAATTTTATATAAATTATTACAAATTATTTACAAATTATCGCTCAGATTTATTATGAAATTTACTTAAATTAATTTTAATAACGCAAACAAATTATTGCCAACATATCATCATTTAATGTAATGATTGGTTATTTGAAATAAAAGGTGAAATCATTAAATGACTCAATTTATTTTCTCTAAATGATTAGTTTTTACTTTATATGAATTATGATATACGGTAACATTTAAAATACTAAATGAGTTAATTGTTAAATATGAAAGTTTATAATAGAACTTAATATATTTGATTGTACAGTAGATTAACAGTAATTCATAATGCAAATATTATAAGGAATGGTGTAGTTTTTGCAATCATAATCATTCTTGTAGGCATCGAGCAATTCTTAAATGTTTCCATTATGAACCATACAGTATATTTAATTATCATTATATTTTATTTAATTATAATTTACTATTTAATTGTCGAATCACATTAATTGCTATGTAGTGGACAATAGAAACTATAAGACTACAGAAAATCCACTCCACTTCCTAATTAAATACAAGTTTATCATTTGATCAAGCAACACTCTTCAATAGACCAGAATATTAAGTTATATTAGTTTATATTTATATTATATTCAAGTATATCTATTATATTAATATATTATATCTAATATTAAATACTATTTTATTACAATCTTATTCTACTTATAATTTGCATGTGTTCAAAGAATTTTAACCTAGTACAGTACTGTACAGTATAATATTTCCAGAATTTAATTTAGTGAATACAGTATGTTGTAACTTATGTTACAGTTTGTACGTAAATATACAGTATTAATACAGAAGTTACTGTAGTCTATTTGTGTGTCATATGGTTAATCATATTACTGTTAGTCAGACAATTGACAAACTTGTACAATAATTGTATGAAATGACAGGACCACCTTGCACATTTCAACAGTCATCCACAACTGTCACCACCATATGAATGATTGAATCATCATTTTCTTACAGTTATCAATACGAACCCAATGTATGCCTCCCTTCACTCGTACAGTACATACTTAGTGAGCGTCCCATCGCTGTACATGTAATCCAATTGTTGACAATTTGTTATCAACTAATCAATGGTTTGTTTGATTTACCACTAAATCCTATACATTTGGTCTCAAGTCATATGATAATCCGATTAACAGCTGAAGAGATGAGATATTGATTGATATAATAATCATTAGTCTGAATGCAAACACAATTTGTGTGACTTTTGGGGCGTTTTTGGGATAATTTTGCCAAAACTATCACTTGTTATCACAAAATACTACATCATATTAGGACACAACTGATCCAATAATAACCATCGATGGCGTGGTCCAAATATCAGGTGTTTTTAGCCATTCTTATGGTGATCACGGGATCTATCAATACATTGGCCACAAAGTAAGCCATTAAACAGATTGTTTGAAACACAGCTTAAGACTAATTGTTTGAATTGAACCGAAGATGGGCTGATATATCACTATCAATGGGAAGGGATGGCACAGTGAGACCCTTTAACCACCCGTTCCTTCAGGCGGTGGCCATGTTTTTGGGAGAGATGTCGTGTCTGTTGGCCTACAAGTTGTTGTATTTGTATTACAAGCGGAAGGATTATACGGATGACCAGTTGCCGCCGTCCATCAGTGGTTCCCGTGGCTTCAATCCATTGATATTCCTGCCGCCAGCCCTGTGCGACATGACGGCCACCTCTTTGATGTACATCGGACTCAACCTCACGTATGCCTCCAGTTTCCAGATGTTGAGGGGGGCCCTCATTATCTTCACCGGTCTTCTGTCCGTCGCTTTCCTCAACAGACAATTAAAGCGTTACGAATGGTTGGGTATATTCTTCGTCATGTCTGGCCTCTTGATCGTCGGTCTGTCCGCGCGTTCGCCCTCTTATTGAGCACTACTTTACTTAATGTTGTCATTCATTTCAGGCACAAGTGATATGATATTTGGTGCAAACAGTTCATCGATAGGTCGAAACAATGTCATCACTGGTAATGAGAAACAATTGTTTGGAGTTAATGAGCAATTTATTGAACTGATCCGTAGGTGACCTCTTGATAATAATGGCACAAATCATAACCGCCACCCAAATGGTTATCGAAGAGAAGTTCGTTTCGGGGCATAACGTGTCGCCCCTACAGGCGGTCGGTTGGGAGGGACTGTTTGGCGCCTGTATTTTGTCGACTCTATTGATTCCCATGTATTTCATACCGACCGGTAATTTCGTGTTTAAGAACCCGTACGGACAGATGGAGGACGCCATCGACGGCGTCTACCAAATGGCACACTCATGGCAGGTGTCCTTCGCACTCATCGGTCGGTTCTCTACTTTAATGCAACCATCGATTGATTGTATATTAATTTAATTATTCACTCATTTTAGGCACAATTATCAGTATATCGTTCTTCAACTTCGCGGGCATTAGTGTAACGAAACAAATCTCTGCCACCACTCGGACGGTGTTGGACTCGATCCGCACTTTTGTTATTTGGATATTCAGTCTATCGATCGGTTGGGAGACGTTCTCTCAAAGGACTTTCATCCAAGTGACCGGATTCACGGTTTTAATGATCGGAATGTTTTTATACAACAATGTCTTCATTCGCCCCTTCCTTATAAGACGCGGTCTCATCAGATCCGATGATTCCGATGAAAGTGATATCAGTCCTATCCTTAGAGGCGATGACACGCCAGTCATTCCCACTATGAATAACCCATCGCTGCAGAGGAATGACTCAATTTACAGTTAATCTCTTTACCAGTTCTGTATATTAAGTTATATTTTATTGTCATAATCGACACAAACGAATGTAAACGAGTTTTGAACTCAAAACTAATCATTTCTAATAATATGTAGCTTTAACCTTACAGTTTTTGATTGATATTGTATTTAAATAATGTGTAAGTTTATTTTGTACTCAAATCATGTAATTAAAAGTTATTACCTTAAATAAAGCCATGTTATCTATAAAAATACTAAACTTTATTGAAAATTGTTATTGAATTGTATGCAAAACGTAAAATTTACAATGATCCCTAGTTCAGTTTAACACTTTAATTTCAAGAATAATAATTATTATTATGAATTATAATTTATGGTATAAAATTAATTATATTGTACAGTATTAATATTAATAATTAGCCAAATTAGCCAAATTAACATACAGTATAATAAAGTGATGATTGTTTTTACTACAGAACTCTGTGGCTGCACAGACATGGGTTTTATGGTTATGGTTATGTCACATACTTTATAATTTGAACAATTCTCTCTCCTATAACTTATAAATGAACAAGTCAATTTTCAAATTCAATTTTACATAAAGCAATGAATATTTTTTGTTAACCTTATTTATTATAGTGTAAATCCTAAACTANTTTTATGGTTATGGTTATGTCACATACTTTATAATTTGAACAATTCTCTCTCCTATAACTTATAAATGAACAAGTCAATTTTCAAATTCAATTTTACATAAAGCAATGAATATTTTTTGTTAACCTTATTTATTATAGTGTAAATCCTAAACTACGTTATTAAAAATTCAATAAACAGCTATTTAAGAAATAATTTGCATACTGGCAATTAAACTTTAGCTTGATGAATTTTTATATTTGGAATGCGAGAACAATATAGATTCTAACGTTATTATAGAATTCTAGACTATAATTTCTATTATTACATTATTCTATAAAATATAGCCATAATATCTCAATTTATAACAAATTAATTGGATGACTATTTCCAATTACATATAAAAAAGAAATAAAGAATTTCCACTTCAAACAAATCTTTTCTAAGAATAATTCCTGGGCATAATATGTGATACTGTATAATTTTATATGTAAAACCCATATGTAATAAAAAATTGCATAATACTGTACCAGTATTAGTATTTAATCAGAATTTACTAGTTGTACTTATATCAAATTTAAAATGTTTTTGAAAAATTAATATAAAAATAGTTGGATATTTACATTTGCTTAAAGTATAGATGTACATAACTTATGCAACATAAGTAAAATGGAAAATTCCTAATGCCTAAGTGTTCTTTATCCAAAAATGTTCAAATGTCTATTACAGTATATATTAGATTGAATTGAAAAAATATTTTTTCATAAATAATATCAGAATATTGTTATTTTAGTCTTAGTAGCATTTAATAACAATAATATCTCTAGAATTGTGTGGAGCATAGAAAACTCCATTTTATTGTTTTAATTAACTCACTTGTCAGGGATTTTGCTAACATTTTAATTTCTAATATTTTAAAGAACTATAGCTTATATAAAAATTCACTTATTATTTCTTATTATAAATGCCATACAAATCGATTTCATATTTATTATTTTCGATTACAACAAAAAAACAACTTTTTTGAGAAGTTATGTTCAGAAGATATTCAGGAATAATTTTTAAAAATGGTAACAAATTATAAATTCGATGTTATTTTTTAATATGTTATTTATGAAAAGTTTATCATGTCCAAAATTCGATTTAATGTCATTCTAATAAAGTATAAATTGCCATGGTGGCATATCTATTTCTATAAGAATTTTGGACTGGACGAAGGTCATAGTCACAGTACAATCTATAGGAGCCTGGTATATAATTATAGTAGTAGTGATTTTTAAACTAGAGAATAACTTATGAACTTTTATTAGAGTTTACTAATCTCTCAATGAAATACATGAAAGTACCTTACTTACAATTTTTAAAGTCTAAAAGAATTATTAAATTTCTTTAATACATCACATGATTTGACATTTAATTTAAATCAAAATAAACTTTCACATTCAAATGAGTAGTGTGAGAAAATTATAAGACCAATTTTTATGAATCAGGTATCAAATATTCGATATAAGTTGATAAGTTTATTAAAACCTTAAATTATACTTTATATAAATTATATTAACTAATAAATACGATTTAAACCAGTAAGTTTTTAGGTGTAAACTTAATGGTTTTCATAATACCTATTTGTAAAACATTTTAAAACAAATATGAGTATGCAATATTTGTTTTATTTTCAATTATGACTATTTTCCGTCAAATATCAATAAATGAAACACTTTTAAAACTAAGCTGTTACTAATTCAAGAATATTCTGTATTAAATTATAAATACTATGTAAAAATTAATAATATTTAAAGGTCATAGGTTTTAGGTCACCAGTCTTATAAGCCAAATGTCTATATTAAATAAGATTTAATAGGAACAGAATAAGTTTTATTTAAAAATATAGAAAATCTAATAAGTAATTACTAATAAGCCTGGGTCATATAATTTGAATGACATGAAAACTCATATTATTACTGAACTAGGGATCATTGTAAATTTTACGTTTTGCATACAATTCAATAACAATTTTCAATAAAGTTTAGTATTTTTATAGATAACATGGCTTTATTTAAGGTAATAACTTTTAATTACATGATTTGGGTACAAAATAAACTTACACATTATTTAAATATAATATCAATCAGAAACTGTAAGGTTAAAGCTACATATTATTAGAAATGATTAGTTTTGAGTTCAAAACTCGTTTACATTCGTATGTGTCGATTATGACAATAAAATATAACTTAATATACAGAACTGGTAAAGAGATTAACTGTAAATTGAAGAGTCATTCCTTTGCAGCGATGGGTTATTCATAGTGGGAATGACTGGCGTGTCATCACCTCTAAGGATAGGACTGATATCACTTTCATCGGAATCATCGGATCTGATGAGACCGCGTCTTATAAGGAAGGGGCGAATGAAGACATTGTTGTATAAAAACATTCCGATCATTAAGACCGTGAATCCGGTCACTTGAATGAGAGTCCTTTGAGAGAACGTCTCCCAACCGATCGATAGACTGAATATCCAAATAACAAAAGTGCGGATCGAGTCCAACACCGTCCGAGTGGTGGCAGAGATTTGTTTGGTTACACTAATGCCCGCGAAGTTGAAGAACGATATACTGATAATTGTGCCTAAAATGAGTCAATAATTGAATTAATGTGCAATCAATCGATGGTTGCATTAAAGTAGAGAACCGACCGATGAGTGCGAAGGACACCTGCCATGAGTGGGCTATTTGGTAGACGCCGTCGATGGCGTCCTCCATCTGTCCGTTCGGGTTTTTAAACACGAAATTACCGGTCGGTATGAAATACATGGGAATCAATAGAGTCGACAAAATACAGGCGCCAAACAGTCCCTCCCAACCGACCGCCTGTAGGGGCGACACGTTATGCCCCGAAACGAACT